GAGGGTGTGCCTGGTGCACGCTCGGGGCCGAATGGTGATACTTTATGAACAATACCCGCAACACATTACAACTCTGAACAGCTGAGTCACAGCAGCTTTAAGGGAGAGGAGAAATTCAGGTGCTTCCCTCACCTCTTTTGAGCCCTTCAGTGGTTGAATTTACTGATTGCCAGTTTGGATTTTACTATTTGGTTCATCTTCCCCAGCCTGGCTCTCCGAAAAAGCTGCCGTTTATAGCTATAGACTGCCGTATATAGCACAGAAACAGGAGTAGCCCATTCAGACCCTTGAGCCTGTTCCGCCATTCTATAAGATTATGGCTGATCTGTACAATTACTCAGGTCCAGTTACCCGCCCTTGCCGCGTAACCCAGTTTTCTCCTTCCACCACATGGTTTGTGTGAGCGGCTGCATCTTACACTGATCACTTCTCTCCGTATCAACGGGGGCACACCGACACTTGATTTCGAGATTTTGACATTCGAGGGGTGGCTCAGGGTGGTTCGGAGGCAGAACAGGACACTGAAGTGGGAGACACCACACACGCGCCCGCCCGCCTGAGGTTAACTCACAGCTGGCCCAGTTTCTTTTTTGTTCAGCTCCACAAAGCTGTGAAGGAACGCCCCGTCTCGTCGCATCAGTGAGTTCAGTGAATCTCATCCCGAGCTTGGTTACACGCGTGTGGTCAATCGCAGATGTCACTGTCTATTGTGGCTCTTAATTTTCTCAGGGGGAAGGGAGAAAAAGTCTCAAGGGAATTACCCTGGTACGAAGCCCAAAATAAACCAACCACCGTGAGCAGGAAGAAAACTGAAAGCAGAAACACAAGAGTCTTGCTTGCCACTGCTACCGAGCTCAGCTCCACGGTAACAAAGCAACGACGAACAAAACAGAACAGGATTCAGGCTGTTTCCTGCTCATTTTCAGTCAGGCTCCATTTGATTTCTGGCAAATCTTCTAACTATGGCACTGAAAACATATCCACAAAGAGAATGAAGCTGATGCTGGTGGTGAAATGACAACTTGCATTTATGTAGCGTCCTTCACGCCAGATGGTGTCTCGGAGCGAAACTAGCTAATGCCTCAGTTATAACATGGGAGGGGCAGGGGAGAGAAAGAATTCAAATCCCATAAGATTGCCAGGAATTACCCCCATTTGGTATGGGTTCTAAGCTGCAAAAGACTCCACCACCTTTAGTTCCTCCTGGACCCAGGCATAGTGTGTGTATGTGCGGTTTGCCCACAAAATATACGGTCGAGTCACTTTACAGTACATTCTGTGCAGCACTTTGAGACGTCTCGAAGACGTCATAAGGCACTGTATCAAAATGCGAGGATTATTATTATTATGATATATGTGCATGTGTGTGAGTAAGTGTGTGTGAGAGGTCACTTATGAGCTTCCCAGTCAGCACAGAAAAGTGGGCAGTTCACACTCAGCCCTCGCCTCTTCCTGACGGAGATCTTTGACGACTGGGGAGCCATTTCCCACGGCTTGGGAACCAGCGAAAAAAAAGATAAGAAATAGATTTCTGAGCTTATGGTTTCGAAAACGTAGCGCACAAACAGAACCATATGAAACAAATTCTCAGTTCAGAGCCAAGAACTATTTCCCTTCCTGCTATGTACAAGTGAGTGCTCTGGGAAGCTAGCTACTGCGTGAGGCGCGCTGTATAAATGCAAGTTGTTCTTGTTAGTTCGACCGTGCCTTCAGTCACCCTTTTCTACCCCTATCCTCCACCCCTCCTGCTCCCAAACCCGCATCTCGGGTGCGGATCCCTGACTGTCCAGCGCCTTGGGACGTCCTCCTGACGTGACAGGCGCTATACAAATGTCATTTGTTGTTGTTATTGTTACAGTAGTGTCTCTACATCATTTTCTGGTCAGCGAGTACAGTACCATTAACCTCTCTCACTCCTCGCACCGCAGGATCTGATAGGATTGACTGGATACTCATGCCAGTCTATATGTTACTGTAGTTTTCTCTGGAGGTCAGACTCACTGCTGTTACAGCCACACGCTGTGATACAAAGGACAGAATCAGAGTCAAAGCTAACTCTTCCCATCCACAGAATGTCCTTTGTCTAACTCCGCGTAAAAGGACATGGTGCTTTCCGAAACTGGCTGCTGCGTTTTGCCCACAACACACACAGTCACTACACTACACGACACGTCACAGTATAATCCTGTGAAGACGTCTCAATGGCGCTGTAATTATTATTATTGCTATTTTGATTTCTCTCACATCTCTTTCCTCGAGCTTTGACCAGGCCATTCACCAACCGTGCATAAGATGCTTTTCTGATTGTATCAAAGTCCAAGAACAAAGCTGGTTCTGTTTGTAAATGTCATCTGAACTCAGTTATTAAATTAAATTACAGCCTTACACTCACTCTCCGCATCTATAAATAAAAAAAAGGAGGCAGGAAAAGAGTAGGAAATGGGTATTGAGTAGTTTCTCCAGTGAAGCAGCTGGCATCAAACAGATGGACTGAATGAACTCCATGCACGCGTGCGCGCGCACACAAACACAACGCACACAATGAAATTTAACGGTGGTTTGCTCGATCGATACTGAGCATCAGATGAAAAATGTCCCAGAAACATTGATTCATAACTATCCAACAACCACTTACTGACAAACCTGATGAACACATTAATAATCGCAGAGACATTGTACAATAATATCCTGATAAGTACCTGATATATTTTTTATTGAGAGCACGTAACTGCAATGCCCTATTCACCTCCACCTGTCTATCTCCTCAGATGTCACTTCTCTAGTGAGGTATTGAGTTACTGACTTCAGGAAACAGAAATGTACAAAACAGAAAACCAGCTAAGCCAATGTACAAATATAACTAAAGAATGCAACACCACTCTACATCTCATGCCCTTCAGTCAATGTACCCCTGGATCGTTTTCCGGGGGTAATAATTCTTTAAAAAATATTTATACTTTTGGGCACTCAATCCACGACTGTTTGTGTGACACTGCCGTGAGCAATTGGCTGCCGCTTTTGGCCCACAAAATGTACAGTCAATTCATTTTACTGTATATTCTGTGTGAAGCTCTTTGAGACATATTATTATTATCAATATCTTCACCAAATAGCTATCTCCTTCCATCTTGAATCTGCTCTCACGATCTCCCAATGACCTCCTCTGTGGCTAGTCTGTGCAATTAAATATGACCTGTTTGTTCACATTCCTGCTCCTGAGCTAGAGTCCATGTCTGGTTGCTCTACATATTTTGGACTCAGGTATTATTATATTAATAATAATAATATTCCCTGCATTTGATATGAGCGCCTTATCTTGTTTCAAAACGCTTCACAAGATATGTTGTGAAGTGAATTGACTGTGTATTTTGTGAGTGAAACACAAAGTCATGGATTGAGTGACCAAATTATTATAATTTTTTTAAAGGAATTATTACTCCCAGAAAAGCGATCCACCAATCGACTAACAAGAGGGTTCCTATTTACTAAGTGAAGGAAACATACCCAACGCGTAGTCTTCATAAACAAATATCAGATCACACATTGTTGGGGAAAGGGTGAGGCTAACAGTAAAGCTTGAAACACTCCTATTATTACCTCCCAGGTAATGTTTTACATTTCCTTGAATGATTAGCAGCACTGTGCCTTTGCTGAATGAACAATGTAATTATTTAACTGTACTCTCCTCACAGGTCTCAGCCTCAGCATGAAAGGGACTGGGCCACCCCGGGGACCTACAAGTGAGGTTGGTTGTAATCTAGTGTTGGTGCCTCTGCCACTGCCTTTATACTCTGCAGTATTTAATCTCTGCAGTAGCTCATAAAGCACTGGTTATTCCTCTCGTTTCAGCTTGGATCACTGAATGACCAGGAGGCAGGCCATGACAGGCCGTGACAGCCAGGACAAAGCACAGGGTACAGCACCCACAGAATCTCGAAGCAGCCCCTATTGATCAATCGCTCGAGTGTTTGTAAAACTGAAATCTAAAACTCTGGGGCTCAAACAACCACAAACTGCAATTATAGAGCGCCTTTCACTTTGAGAGGATGTCCCAAGGTATAGGAGGGTGAAGGGTTTGCACCTGAGCTGGGGGTTGGAATCAAGAGGGGTGGGGGTGAGAAGGTGACCAAAGGCAACGGTCAAAGAGGAAGATCTTCAGGCGGACCTTGAGGGCCGGGAGGAGTGAGAATAAGGGTGAAGGTTAAGATGGGAGGGGATGCAGGCAATGAAGGGGAGGATGAGAGCAGTAAGGGTGGGGTGAGTGAGGGTGAAGATAGAGGTGGGAGTGAGAGTAGGGGAAAAGGTGAAGGAGGGTGAAGGTGAAAGGGGAGTGCGGGCAATCGGGGGGTGAGAGGGGGGTAAGGAGGGGGAGGGGAGGGGGGCTAAGGAGGGGAGGGGGGGTAAGGAGGGGAGTGAATGAGGCTGTAAGGAGGGGAGTGAGGGGGGGCGGTAAGGAGGGGAGAGTGAGGGTAAGGAGGGGAGGGTGAGGGTAAGGAGGGGAGGGTGAGGGTAAGGAGGGGAGGGTGAGGGTAAGGAGGGGAGTGAGGGGGGTGTAAGGAGGGGAGTGAGGGTGAGGGTAAGGAGGGGAGTGAGGGGGGTTGTAAGGAGGGGAGTGAGGGTGAGGGTAAGGAGGGGAGTGAGAGTGGTGTAAGGAGGGGAGTGAGGGTGAGGGTAAGGAGGGGAGTGAGGGGGGTGTAAGGAGGGGAGTGAGGGTGAGGGTAAGGAGGGGAGTGAGAGTGGTGTAAGGAGGGGAGTGAGGGGGGTGTAAGGAGGGAGGGGGGTGTAAGGAGGGGAGTGAGGGGTGTAGGAGGGAGTGAGGGTAAGGAGGGGAGTGAGGGGGGTGTAAGGAGGGGAGGGTGAGGGGTCAGTGAGGGGCGGGAGGGCAATGAGAGCCCCGCGGGTCTCCCTCTCTCGGGGTCGGCTCAGCGGCAGCTGCCGGGAACGGGGCGGTTGGAGCGGCTGCGGGAGGCGCGGTCGGAGGCCTCGCGGCGGCTTCTCACCGGTTTATCTTCTGAGCGAAAGCGCGACGCTCCGTTGAGGTGGCCATGGCTTCCCCACAGAGAGCCGAGCGGTGGCTCCCTCAGCTCCCAGCGCGGCCCGGCAACCGCTCGCCGACTGCTGCCCGCTCGGCAATCTCCGCCACCGCTCGGCAATCCCCGCCCCCCCCCGGCAATCTCCGTCACTGCTCCCCGCTCGGCAATCTCCGCCCCTCGGCAATCCCCGTCACTGCTCCCCGCTCGGCAATCTCCGCCCCTCGGCAATCTCCGTCACCGCTCGGCAATCCCCGCCCCCCCCCCCGGCAATCTCCGTCACTGCTCCCGCTCGGCAATCTCCGCCCCCCGGCAATCTCCGTCACTGCTCCCCGCTCGGCAATCTCCGCCCCTCGGCAATCTCCGTCACCGCTCGGCAATCCCCGCCCCCGGCAATCCGCGTCACTGCTCCCCGCTCGGCAATCTCCGCCCCTCGGCAATCTCCGTCACCGCTCGGCAATCCCCGCCCCCCCCCCCCCGGCAATCTCCGTCACTGCTCCCCGCTCGGCAATCTCCGTCACCGCTCGGCAATCTCCGCCCCTCCCCCGGCAATCCCCGTCACTGCTCCCCGCTCGGCAATCTCCGCCCCTCGGCAATCTCCGTCAGCGCTCGGCAATCTCCGACAATAGCAATCCCGGCATTTAATACAGCGCCTTATCCTCGTCTTCGAGGCGACAACAGCAACAACCTGCACTTATATAGCGCCCGGACGGCGCCTCAGAGCGCCTAAGAATGGTGACCGTAGGCGCGGTCAAAGAGGAAGGTCTTCAGGCACGAAGACCTGGAGATGGGGAAGGAAGAAGCGAGGCGAAGAGGTTGAGGGGGTTCTAAAGTTTGGGGCTGCAGTGGCTGAAGATAATTGAATGAACCAATTATTATTTTTATTATTATTGCCTCCTTCAAAATCCGTCTCAAGACCCTCCTCTTCGCCTTGTGCCTTCGGTCACCCTCCCACCCCTACCCTCAACGCCTGTTGATCCCAAACTCCAGCTCGGGTTTGGATCTATGACTCTCCAGCGCCTTGGGACGTCCTCCTGATGTGAAAGGCGCTGTGTAAATGTCATTTGTTGTTGTTGTTGTTGATGGGGGTACGACGGAATTTAGAGCGGGTGAGTGTAAGGGTGGCAGAGTTCTGAATTAATTGGAATTTGTGGATAGTGGAGCTGGCAAGGAAGGCATTGCGATACTCTGGATCGAATGGTTCTGGAAAGTCGTTGAGTTTTACAATTTTGCACAGTTCTGTGCAATTTTAGTTTTTTTGCCCAGCAGCGATGGACTCCAACCGGGGTAAGAAGCTCTGGGACGCGTGAGGGGTGTTATTTAAATGCAAATTGTTGTTGTAACCTCAAACCCAGTGGTGGAGGTAAGCAGACATCGCCCTCTTGCAGCTGTGACAGCTCACTAGCTGGGGTGTTACTCTGTCTCTGGGTTTCCTGATAGAATAATAATAATCCTTGCATTTGACACAGCGCCTTATCACGTCTTTGAAACGCCTCAAAGCGCTTCACAGCATGTACTGCAAAGTGAATTGACTGTATGTTTTGTGGGCGAAACGCGGCAGCCAATTGCACACAGCAGTGTCCCACAAACGGTCGTGGATTGAGTGACCAAATTATTATTAGTTTTTTTAAGGGCTTTTTACCCCCGGAAAAGTGATCCAATTGACTTAACAACCAGGTTCCTACTTACTGCTAGGTAAACAGAGGCATGTGTGTGGTTTTTCCCTGACTGGGAATCAAACCCAGGTCCTCTCGCTTGCGAGGCGAGTGCTCTAACCACTGAGCTACAGAACTCCACAAGGTTAAGATGCTTCGCTCGTGCCTTCTCTCCTTGTCCCCACAACCTCTCTTGCTCAGTGATCCCCATACTCTTTGAACCTCCCACACTTTCATCCTACAATGAAGGGTGCTGACTGGGTGCAAGTCATTGTTCTAAACAAATAACTCTTACAACTTGTTCACTTCGCTGTTCACCTTGACACAGAACGTAATCAGTGGGAGAGCCCATGTTGCAGCCCCTCCTCAGTGCTCCACTTGTTACTTACTCAGTGTTGTCAGCCCAGCGAAATAATGAGACGTGTTATTGTTGCAAGTCATATACTGTGTAACCGCAGCCTAATTCTAACAGATTGATTCTTTGCAAAATAAACAGTGCACCTGAACTATAATGGTGGACATGTTGTGGCACGGTTTTTCTCACTGTTCACCCCCTGATATATGGCTTTCCGCTGTTTAGAGAGTGTTAACAAGTGCTCAGAGTAACCATGCAAATATTTGTTAGCAAATGCCGCTCAGTCTCAGATTGGCACAGGCTCCTGGACTATATTTAGGGATCTTATCTGCAGAGTTCACCTTCTGATTGGAGGGATTTGTGTCAGTATCCAGTGTAATAAATAATAGAGAAACCTGGTTACTTCATGATCCACATCCCTCCCCTTCCCCTAGCTGGTCAAGTTGCATTCGTGAGAGTGAAAGTCAGGTGAGAGAGAGCAGGGGATCAGGTAAGAGGTGTACCTGCTCAAAGCATGTCCTCTTCACACCCCTCCTTTGTGCACTTTCCCTCTTGTTTATCTTTCACTCTCCATCTCTCGTGTACTCTCTCACATACTATCTCTCTCCTCCACTCTCTCTTTATCTACTTTCGCCCTCGCAGGCAGAGCAAAACGTTGGGCAAGTTTCCTTAATCCACCACGCCTCTGTTTATCTAACAGTAAGTAGGAACCCAGTTGTTAGTCGATTGGCGAATCACTTTTCCGGGGGTAATAATCCCTTCAACGTTTTAAAAAAAAGTTTGTCATTCAATCCATGTTTGTGGGACACTGCTGTGCACAATTGGCCGCCACGTTTCACCCACAAAAATATACAGTCAATTCACTTTCAGTACATTCTGTGAAGCGCTTTGAGACATCTTGAAGACATGATAAGGCGCTATATCAAATACAAGGATGTGTGTGTGAGCCATGGACACACCGAATCCCTGACCTTTGCTGTGTTTCAGTTAAGAAAGGATCCTCAACTGCTCAAGTTCAAATCTCAAGCTATCCCGCGTGATGGGCAATATATAAATAGAAGTTGTTGATGTTGTTCAGGGAAGCTCCACCATGGAGAAGAGAAGGGAGAGCCTGTTAGCTGTCAGAGCTGCTGGTCAGAGAGTGCCTGGCACAACCAAAGCCAGAAACAACAGCATCCCCTCCACAAACAGCCCGCCCAAACAGGTAGGACAGGGTGTGGGACAGACAATCCGCTCCCAGTTATGTTCCTCATTTTAACTTCCTTTGGATCTTACCCGCCCCTCCATCAGCGATCGGGTCTTCAGCCTCTCTACCCCCACCCTCTGGTACTCCATCCCACAGTCCCTTCGGCTCACTCCATCCCTAGCCTCCTCCAAGACCGGTGTCAAGACCCTCCTCTTCGACTGTTCCTTCGATCACCCACCAATCCCTCTCCCTCCTCGCGCTCCACCCCTCCTGATCCCAACCACCAGCTCAGGTACGGATCCCTGACTGTCCAGGACCTTGGGACGTCCTCCTGACATGAAAGGCGCTATGTAAATGTAATTTGTTGTTGTTGTTTTGCAGCTCGCACCGGGTAAGGGCAGAGCCTCTCTGGGCAATGTGTTAAGTGAGACCCACACTTTTGCCTTCAGCTTCAAAGGACTTCTTGCTGCCAGGCGAATGACAAAGCATTTAAAGGTAAAATGCAGAGGCTGTGTTTCTCGGGGGAAGGTTGCAGGTACCCTTTCGGATGGAAACCGAAGCTATAAAATCTCTTTTGCTTTTAAAGGAAAGAACAGCTTTGAAGATAGCAGCGAAGAAACCAGCAGTTACCAAGATAGTAAATGAGAAGGTTTGTTTTCCTCCAATTGACATTCATCGCAAGACCTTTACTCGATCTCTAACTCACACTGTCGCTGATCTGGGAGTGTGGATGGACAGTATAGAGGAGCTTTACTGTGTCCCTAACCCTGACCTGGGAGTGTGGATGGACAATGTAGAGGGAGATTTACTGTGTCTCTCACCTCGATCTGAGAGTGCGGACGGACAGTGTGGAGGGAGCTTTACTGTCTCTAACTGTCAACTCTGTTCTTTCTCTTCAGTGCATTGATTCCAGTATATGGTTTCTATTTCACTCTCCAGGTACCACCATTTTGCTCCAACCCCAAAGAGAAATTCAGGACTCTCCCCGTTCAGAAGTTCCTGGAAGAATACTTACCCGAGAAGCTGTGCAGCATCTCCTACTGTCCCTCGATTGTGTCCGCACTCACAAAGGAGATGTGTGATGAAATTAAGGAGTTTGTGAAGGATGTTCTGCCGCCCAGGTATAAGTTGCTGTGTGTGGTGACAGTGGGTGAAAAGCACAGCGGAGACGCTCTGGTCACCAGCCGCTGTCTCTGGGACTCCCACGCAGACACCTTTGTTTCCTGCTCTTACCAGAATAGTACCCTCTTCTGTGTAGCCAATGTCTTCACCGCCTACTGTGAATAACCCAAATACGGTGTTGTGGCCTCCATCTTCCCCCCACCACCTCCTCCCAATCACCATCCTCCTCTCCCTCGAAGCTTGCATTCCAAAAATAAATAATAATTTGGTCACTTCGATCCATGGCTGTTTGTGGGACACCGCTGGACGCAATTGGTTGCCGAGTTTCACCCACAAAATACACAGTCACTACACTTTACAGTATAGCCTGTGAAGCGCTTTGAGACGTCTCGAAGACGTGATAAGGCGATATATCAAATGCAAAGATTATTATTAAACAAGCTGAGATTATGAGCATGGCCCCCAGGCGGCAATGGAGAGTGCTGTGCAGAATGCAACTCACGTGCAACAATCTCATCGTCCCTCAGGGAATCTGGGAATGATCGGCATTCCCTCTGATAGGAAGACCAGCCGGTGTGCCCGCTGTCTCTGTTTGTTCCATGTCCTTTTGCCAGTGTTTCTGCTTAGGTTTTCTGCAACCGATAGAATCGTAGAACATTACAGCCACAGAAGGAGGCCATTCGGCCCATCGTTGCCTGTGCCGGGTCTTCGGAAGAGTCCCACTCCCCCGCTCGCTCTTTCCCCAATATCCCCGTAGGATCTGTCACTTTTCCATTTTGTAAGGAACGGCACTTTCTTTTTCTTCACAGAATGTCATGCATTAAAATCAGGTTTGTTTTATCCAAACCAGTTCCCTTTCCCCCCCCCCCCCCCCCCCCCCACCCGCACTCACAGCGACTGCGAGTTACCTCTGACGCGATGCGTGTCCGTATCCAACTGTGTCCCGACCCAACTGTCCAGCGCCTCGGGACGTCCTCCCGGCGTGAAAGGCGCTCCATAAATGCAATCTTGTTGTTGTTGTTGTTGTCAGGGGATGTGGGAATGGGAAATCTCTCTCTCTCTCTCAAGCCTCTCACTCTCTTGTTCCTGGGAGCAAACGTTAATAATAATAATAATAATAATAACGTTTACCCAAGTCGGAACCCGGTCGTTGGTGCCACTGGCGGATCGCTTCTCTCCCGCGGGCCACAGAGACACCGACGCCTTCGGTACACAAATAAATAATTGAGCGACCCTCCGCGGGGACGGCGCTGGGCGCCATCGGCCGCCGGGTTTCGCCCCCCGTCCCCCCCACCCAAACTACAGTCACTACACTTTATCGGTGTATCCCGGCGAAGCGCTTCGAGACGTCTCGAAGACCTGACAAGGCGCCGTATAATAATAATAATAATAATAATAATCCTTGCCCTTGATACGTTGCGCCTTCTCTCGCGTCTGCGGGACGTCTCGAAGCGCTTCACGGGAGACGCCGTCGAGTGTAGTGACTGTGTGTGTGTTTCGCGGGCGATGTTTGTGATAGCAAAACTGCAAGGATTATTAGATTATTATTATTATTAATTATTATTTAGAGACTGACTGGATTGATTTGTCACTCACCGGCTGAAGCGGGGAGAGAGGGAGAGGGAGGGGGGGGCGGCAGAGCAGGCGCCGCCGGGACAGCCCCGCCCTGTCCTCGCGCGGGGTCCTCGCTCCGCTGGCGGTTGGGCGCCAACTGTTTGAATTCCTTCCAGAGAGTTCCGGCGAGAAGCGCGCGCCCGAGCGCTCCGTTACCTCACGGCGGGCACAGCAACCGAGAGAGACGACCGACACCGGGAGAGGGTGAGAGGCACCGGACGCGGCGCCGGGGGAGGGGCGAGAGACACCGGGAGAGGGCGAGAGACACCGCCACCGGGAGAGAGTGTGAGACACCGACACCGGGAGAGGGCGAGAGACACCGACACCGGGAGAGAGTGAGAGTCACCGGGAGAGGGCGAGAGACACCGACACCGGGAGAGAGTGAGAGTCACCGGGAGAGGGCGAGAGACACCGACACCGGGAGAGGGCGAGAGACACCGGTAGAGGGGCGAGAGACGCCGGGACAGGGGCGAGAGACACCGACACCGGGAGAGAGTGAGAGACACCGGGCACAGCACCGAGAGAGACCGACACCGGGGAGGAGGGTGCGAATCACCGGGGGAGAGGTTGAGAGAGACCGGGAAGTCAGTCAGTGAGGGAGGGACGAGCGGGGGAGCGGAGAGACCGGGAGACAAGACAACGGGGGGAGAGAGAGAGAGAGAGGGTGAGAGAGACCGAACACCACCGAGAGACCAGGGGGTGGGGGTGGGGGAAGACACCGGGGAGCGGAGAGATACCGTGAGAGTGACCGGGAGGATATGAGCGACACCGGGGAGAGGGGGAGAGAAACACCGGGAAGCACCGAGAGACCGGTACCGGCAGAGGTGTGACCAAGTTATTATTATTGTTTTGAAAAGATGATTGTCCCCCTCCCCTCCCCTCCCCCCGAAAAGCAAAGTGAAGAAGAGCTCAGGGGAGTCTAAAAAAAAATCTTAATTAATAACTAATTTATTACAAAGTAATATGGACCCAAGAAGACTGTCGCTCATAAGCTGTTGTGCGCGCAGGTGTCCAACACGGCACACGAGATGGACACACAGATCCAGGAGCTGAAGAATCTTATGGACGAGTTGGCGATCATCATCTCTGCCCGTCACGGCGAGGAGCTGCTTCAGAAAGCCATGAAGAAGAGAGAGGAGGCAATCGACCACTACCTCAGAGTGGAAAAGGATGCCTCCCAGCTGGTCAGAGGTAAAGTGAAAAGCACTTTTGCGTTTCCCAGATAAAGGCTGTGTACTGATTCGGACTGCAAACTACAGTTTGTTAAACAATCAAAAAGACTGAGGTTTACATCAAAGGGGTATCAAATAAACTGGCCAAATTGGCTTGGTGAGCTAAATGATCTCCACCTACATTACCATTTTTAAAAAAAACATTTTAGCAGTTGTGGAATAACTGCATAGGTGCATATTTTCGACCACGAAATATACAGTCAGTTCACTTTGCACTATATTCTGTGAAGCGCTTTGAGATGTCTCATAGACATGATAAGGCGCTATATCAAATGCAAGAATTATTATTTGTTATGTTGGCTCCCAGGTGATGAGAAATGAGTGGTCCAGTAATTAACAAGTGCGTTTTGTATTTCAGAGCTTCTGCAGATGGAGGAGAGTGTGGCTCAGAAGGTCTTAGACTTGGAAGAGGAAAAACAGAATGGTTTTCTGGAATTGCGGAAAATTGAGGAAGAATTGAAGCAGAGTCAGCAACAGAATTTGGAGCAAGTCACAGAACTCAAATATCCTTTTCATGAGAGGGAGCCGGTAGCTATAAGCGCATTCGAAGAGGTAGAATTTAAGATGAGACAAAGTCAAAAAGAGACAGGGCAACAGAGATTGGTAGTGGTGGGGAGTTCCAGAGCTTGGGCATAGAAACTGAAGGCTCAATGCTGGTGTGGAGAGGATGGGGGTGAGGCAGTAAATCCAAGCGAACTGAGTGGGGAGGAATAGGATAAAAGAAAAATAGCCAAACCAGACTGAGCGTTCCACATATGTATGCCACCTACCGGTGTAAATTTACCAGTGTCTGGCCTGGAATATCCCCACTCTCGGTAGAGGGATGCACTCAATTTAACTAATTCTGTAAGAGTATCCAACATAGGTAGGCAAGAGCTAAGGTTTGGAGAATCTAGAATGTATATCTGAGTGCTGCTCGAGTTTTATCAGCTTTCTTTCCCTTAACATATGGAAATTACATTACTGCAGAGAGAATTGGAGGAACTTGAAAAGATTGAAGAAGACACTGCCAAAATGGAGGAGGAGGTGGATGAAGATACACTTGTGGTTATTCCTTCTACTAAGTATGTTTTTAATTTTTTATTGTAAAGTCCCAGCATTAACCTTGGCTGCGCTGTAAACCTTTGAGTGCTATTATAGCCTGAAGTATTCAGGCTATTTTTCTCCCCTCCACCCCTCTCCCAAGCTAGGTTCAGTTGAGATGGTTATGGATACAGGAAAGTTGGTGGATAGATTAGGGGGAAAGGGAGTACGCTGTATGTTGGGGTCCTTTGCAAGCGATCATGAGGATAAAGAGTGGTACTAATGGAAGATATAAATTACAGTGGGTAAACTTGACTGGGAAAATCTCCGAAATCGATAATTCTATGCCTAGTATTGTTTAAGGGTGTAATGTGTTGTGTTCTATCGACTGGATAAAGTGCCTAAGGCCTGCTGAAATCTGACATTTGGCCATGGGTTTATTTGTTTTAAATCATTTTCAACTGCATTTATGGATGTGATGCACTTGCCAGTTTATTTCATGAGATTTCTAACTGCTTTGGCCTTTCGTCTCTGCATCATACCTTCAAACTTTGATGCTTTCAAACTTCTCATCTACTGCAAAAATTGCACAAGTATACTGTTGGTTCATGTCATTTCTGGCTAATTGAGGAAATTGTGAATAGATTTACAGGATGCAATGAGAGCTTCTATTTGCTGTACTTTGGTGTGATTTAAATTTGCTTGAATCACATTTTTTCTTTATCTTCTTAAGAAGCTTCTCTGTTGGCTGGCTCCAGACAATCTTGTTTTATGTGGAGATCTTATATTTGAATTTGGTTTATGCAGGTACTTGGCTCATATTTTCCACAAAGTTACCAACATCATTTGGGACTACGACAGTGACCCTTCTGTTGTTAAAGGCAGTATCCTTTCATGCATTGCATGGAGCTTCTGAAACTTTGAAAACTATATGAGAAAATTAATTTTAAAAAAAAACACTTTTCAGATTGTGATATGCTGATATTTGTTTTCTCTTTCTTCTTTCCACCAATAAGATAGGAATTTGTGTGGAGAATCATCATCCCAAATCTGCATTTACTCACTCTGGTGGCTAACTTTGATACGTTGTTGTTACATTTTTATATTTCTACTTGTCTTGTGTCGACAGTTATCCTGGCGCATTCAGAATCTGAAAGAAGTTAAATATGGAGTATTGTGGAATGATGCAGCACAGAACATGCGTCATTTAATTCAAATCCTGTGTGGATTTTTGTGCTACATAATCCCATTTTCTTGCTTTTAATCCCATTCTCATGATCACTTGTTCTTGTATGATTCTTATGATCACTTTATTATTTTCATCAAGCATCGAATTCACTTTTAAACCAATAGAAGAACAATGTGGTTTGAGGAGGAGAATACTACATTCCAGTCACCCTCTACAAATATTTTTTTTCCAGTTTCCTGTTTAATTCTCTTTTGGTTATTTAAAACCTTTCATGACCTTGAAGGCTTTTACAACATCACCTCCCCAGTTATAGTGGAGAAAAAAGTGCTATCTTCTCTCATCTCTTCATAAACTTAATTCCTATGAAAGTTATCCTACACAAATGGAGTTTAAGCAGACATTTTGTTGGATTGTTTTGCAATATTTTCCTTAACTTGTATTTTCTCAGTTCATTTTGGGAAGGATATAACACAGCCAATTAACATTGACGCTACCAAACACTCTGAGAGCTTCATCTGCGATTATCTGTGGAATTTGGTAAGCACGGACTGGTAGAATGACCTCAAGAAGAAAAAAATGAGGAAGAGTTGGCTGCCCGCATCACAAATCATACTTTGAGCCACCAATGATTCTGAAGCTATGGATTTTCTTTTCATAAATCTATCTTCCTTTTAAATCTGATGGGACAGTCTTGTCAAAGGATTGTTTGCAATAAAGCATGCAACAATTGTCCCCAGTGAGAGAGCATTGTCATTTAATATGCCTGGAAGAGTGACCCAGTGAGACTTGTGCATCTGATTTTCTTAGCCAAAGGAAATCAGGAAGAGTTGGTACTACCATAGCTGAGATTAGAAACAATCGATTTACAGTGAATTGTGGGCACAAAGATGTGCCACATCAGGAGAATATTGTACAGATACTGTAATGCTTAATATTTTGGAAAAAAAATACAAATGGTCCACTACTTTCAGCAGCAAAGTGAGCCTATGTAGTAATGAGTTTGAATCCCTCTTGTGACTGGCTTTTGCAATCCACCATTGTTGAATGAATTTCTATAGTTCTTAAATGAGGAACAAGAAAGCATTGTCCATTGTGGGGTGGGGGAGCTGTCAGGTCAAAACCTGTTGGTAAAGCATGGGTCAATATTGACCATAGACATTTAATTTTGTATATGAATAATAAAAAAAACAAACTGACTTCTGAGCTCTTGTGAGTGAATTGCACCCATCACTGAGGTGTTTAGAGAGTGGTTATACTGTTCTTCAAACACCAGCACCCGATCAGGTAGCAAAAGATGTTTAGCAAAGTCAGTAATCTACTATATGGGTGAACATCAAAGTGTTTTGGCTTATCATTAGGTCCTAGATGTACAAATTCTCAATCCTGAAAAACACTACTCACTGCCCTCTCTCGCTCTCCTCCTCTTCCCTCCACCCCCTTAAGCTTTACCTTTTGCAGTTTCGCTCCAGAAAATGTGTTTGAGTTTGGGGAGAAGAAATGGGAAAATCAGGATGTCAGTCTCCAGAAATCTTGAAGAGTGATACTGCCTGCTTGACCGATTTAGTGGGTATTTAAAATGTCTAATACCTTTGAGGCTGTATTATAAGCTGAGCGTAAAACAAGACCGACTTCCCAGTTGTCAGGTCGTGGCTGATTTCACCCTCCGCATACTATGCACACGATTCGCTTCTAAAGTTGCTGCGTATAGTGTGCAAGAATATGACAATATGGAAGATTGTCTGGCTGAACATGGCTGATCTATATCTTTGCTAGAATGTCAAATCCAATTTCCCTCTTTCTCCCCGTATCCCTTAATACCTTGATCTATCAAAAATCTGTCAATCTCTTTCTTGAAGGTGTGGATGGATCCAGCATCCATGAGTTCCAGATTTCTACCACCCTTTGAGTAAAAAAATGCTTCCTAATTTCACTCTTAAATGGTCTGGTTCTAATTTTAAGACTATGCCCCTTGTTTTGCATTCCCCCAACATAGGAATAGCTTTTCTGCATCTACCCTATCAAATCTCTTTATCATCCTAAAAACCTCTATCAAATCACCCCTCAATCTTCTAAACTTGGGGGAATAAAATCCAAGTTTACGCAGCTTTTCCTCGTAACTTAACCCTTTTTGGCCTAGTAACATTCTGGTGAACCTGAGCTGCACCCCCTCCAAGGCCAATATATCTTTCCTGTGGTGTGACGCCCAAAATTGAACGCAGTATTCCAGATAGGGTCTGACTACAACAACAACTTGGATTTATATCGTGCCCTCCAGGCCGGATGGCGTCTCAGAGTGCTTTACAGTACTGGATCCTGGGGCCAAGGGAGGAGGTGACCAAAGACTCAATCGAAAAGAAAGGTCTTCAGCCGAGACCTGAAAGTGGGAGGAGAAGGGGCGAGGTGAAGGGAGTGAGGAAGGCAGTTCCAGACTAACGCTCGATATAGCTGAAGCATAATTTCTTCCCCTTTGTATTCCAGGCCTCTCGAGATAAAGGCCTCTTTGATTATGTTTTACACCTGGGAGCTAGTTTTTAGTGAGCCTTAAAGACTTCTGTTTAGCAATAGGGGGTAGGGTCCAATCTACCCAGCAGCACAATTGCCAAGTCTTTTTTGTTTGTGGGAGGTTTGATGTCATTAAACAGGAAATTCTCTTTCTTCTAGTGAATGGTTTCTAAGCATTTAAAAGTGAAGTTTGCCTTATCAATCAGGTTAGGTGCTATCAATGTTTAAAATTGTTTTTATTTTACAAAAGTATCAAAAATAATGCAACTAAAACTGCTTTGTGCCCATTATATCTGTTTATCCACTATACTTAATTGGAGTACTGGAAGGTCTATGAATCTATACAGATCATTCCCCACCGAATAGGTGGGCTAAGTTCCTTAAGAGGGGCTGTTTTGCCAATCATTACCAATTAAATGCACTTGCAATTGCTAAGAGACTGTTGGCTTCTGTGAACAATATCTAACTCAGAATAATCCTTCTTTCGTTTACACCTTCACATCACTCGCACACCTGCCTGCATTCATTCACAGAATCTTTATCAGTGCTGAATATGAACAGCAGAGGGCCCTCTTCACATCACCTTTTCTTGTGTTGGTATGTGGTTTCGTGAGTGGCAGGTTCTCTCACAAAACTCGCCCAAATTATTATTTTCATATATAAGTCGAGATATTGAGCAATAAAATAAAAAATAATAATAATGATTCGGTCACTTAATCCACGACTGTTTGTGAGACACTGCTGTGCATAATTGGCTGCCGTGTTCCGCCCACAAAATATACAGTTAATTCACTTTGTAGTATATTCCGTGAAGCGCTTTGAGATGTCTAGAAGATGTGATAAGGGTCTGCCCTTTGGATACCATATGATAAATGAGAAGGAGAAAACACCAAGCAGCATTTCTTGGACATGTTTGGAACAAGGTTAGGCTACTTTGTCAATCAAGGCATTTCTACCAGGAAGGAAGGACATTCAAAACACGGACTCTTACGTCTACTGATGGCCAAATGTAGAGAAGCGTTGGCCTTGCCGGCTTTTTGAGTCACAAAGTAGTTTGTGGCATTTTCATGGGACAGAATTTGTCTGGCTAAAATGCTTTCTCAAGCAGCATACACTGTTGTTGCATTGGTGACGTGAAAGGTGTTATACAAATGTAATTTTGTTGTTGCTGCATCCATCCTAACACAGAGCTGGAGCTGCCAGTTAGGGTCACTCTGGACAACGATTATATTCAAGGTTCCGATCTTGACTATGTTCTTCTAGTACTACGTGGAGCTGAATCAACAGGAGATCATCACCGACACCACAGAGACTGGACTTGTAATAACTATCAGGTGGTCACAAAAGTTGCATTGGAAGATTTCATACTGAACCAGCTATTACCTCTATGGCAGCTGAACTGAGCTTATGCTGGAGGAGAACAGTATTGTTAGAAATGTGAGCAGTATGTCATCCCACCCACATCATTCATCTTTACTCAGACATGCTGTAAACGCTACGGCAAAAAGCCACAGTGCAGACAAGGGTGTCTTTAGTCGAGGCAATTTTAAGTTGTTATTGTACATAACTTTCTCCTCGGCACGCCCCATAGTTATTCTGCTGAATAGCAAGTGAACTATGAGGAAACAGCCAGGCTTAAAACCCAAGACAGCTGGGTCCCCTTAGGCAGGGTACTGTTTCGAAAGTTAACTAGAGGGAAGCAACATTTCACTTAATTAGAAAGCTGCTTACTCAGCATTAATTCTTACCAGCACTAAGTGGTCTGGTTATTCATTGCTCAAGGCAGTTAGTTTAATGTAGGGTTGAAATTATCTTAGAAATGTCTGGTTTGATCCTCTTCTGCTGAATGCTTCAGAAATCATGTGACGGACCTCAGCTTTTCTATGTCCCAACAGAAAGGCACAAAAGCAAAGTCCTCTCTCTGTGCACCCAGAGCACAGCAATTTGAGGAGCTTAAATTCTCACAGCAAAATTAGCAGATATTTGTTTACATGTGTGTTTGTGGGGATGGGCAGAGAGGGGTGCTTATCAAGATAAATAATGTCATTGCCTGCAAATAGAATGTTTTCCATTGCTTGAGTCAAGTTGTCTGGTTTAGCTACAACATGTAGAGCAGATGCAGGTCCAAAACTCCATTACTCAAACAATGTCCCTCAATCTCATGTTCAGTATACATTTTATACTGTTGTTTCCATTTTCCACCGACTGTCCTCAAGTGTGATATTGACAATATAAAGCCATTTAATGTTGTAACCTCAAACCCAAGAGGTTTAAGTCATCAGAGACATCCCATAGTCTGGCCTGGATTTAAGGCCAGATTCCATAGATGAAAGAAGTATATCCTAACCCAATGCCAAAAGCCTCAAGAGATCTTTTAAACAAATACTTCAGGAAGCAGAGTGTAACAATACGAGTGAAGCCTTTTTCTTATTGAGAAAAATAGGTGAAGGCCAAAGCAGGACAGGAAACAAACCACCAACATTGAAAACAGTGGTGAGGATGAAATAAATTACAAAACTGAAGTTGCGTGATTAGTTCTTAATTGAATCACAACACATTGGCTTACCATCTGATGTTTAAATGGCCTTCGTATTATGTTCTGCCTATGGCCCCACATCCTACTATTCAGTACTTATTTGGAGCCCAGCTGCACTATGTTCCTGCATTATCTATGTTCCCGCATTCCACTCTGTGCTATCTTTGTAGTAGTTTTCTAGTTACTTTGTCTATTGCACAATCTTAAAGTTTTAAGTATTGAAAAGAATATTTACCCATAAAGTACTATTGCCTTTCCCTTTCAAATTCTGAAATGACAGAAATGCAAATCAAGTGAAGATAATAGAATATTATGGTTCATCATAATTATGGTTACACTTTTGTGGCATGGACGTACCCTGTTCCTGTTTTGTGGAGTCCTGTAGCTCATTGTTTAGAGCATTCGCCTTATTTCAGATTTCCAGCATCTGCAATATTTTACCTTTTGTCACGCTAAGCTTTGCTGCTTTCCCCCGTGTTGCTTCTCCTAGCAGCTAGTTTTCCTTCCTCTTTGAGCAGAAAGTGCCTGGTACCTACTTGGCATCATTGGCATCATCTTCCATGGACCCCATTTGTGTCTTCTCAAGTTAACATTCAACATGTTTGATTCATTTATTTAGGGATGTAATCTGCCAGCCAGGAAAAGCTAGTCCGATTCACTGCAGGCTGACAAAAATTCCTCCTTATGGTGTGTTTGACAGCAGGACTTGTCATGTGGTCATTATGAATGTACCGCTGTGCCCCTCTCTCTCTACTATTGCTTAGTATCTTTTATTTGCAATAATACACACATGGTGCAGAAGAATAAAGCTTTATTAAAAGAGTGAAAATATTTGAATTAAAAAATTATCATCTGTAATTGTCTATCTGCAATAAGCATTGACATACAATCATTTTGAAAAACAATTTTTTTTTTAAAAGAGATCTTCTGGTTTTGTTTTGACGCACTCTGACAGAAACCAAGTTGCCCATTTCCTCCTGAGCCGGTTCCACCCTTTACATCCTGAATAAACAGGACACACTTCCCTCGAGGCAGAATGCTTTCTCTCAATCCCTCCCTTCCGGGTGCTGTACACTGATACTAAATGCCCCTCACCACCCTAAATTCCAAGCTCTAAAATAGAGGGATTAATCCTATCCAGTGACAGGTCACTGCCTGCTCAAGCAGTGGTCTCCAGCTCAGGCTATGAATCAGCGCCTTGGGACATCCTCCCGACGTGAAAGGCGCTATACAAATGTAATCTTGTTGTTGTTGTCAATCTTATGCCTTATGAGGGAAATTCTCCTTTGACAACATTTTCTGTCAAAGCAACACATCAATTACAAAAAGATATGTCAATGTTACAGTAATGTGAGACACTCACAGCCTCTCAGCACTCCTCCTTCCTACTGGCCTCATATCAGCTCATGGAGTGCAGTGTGTGATTGCTTTCGTACCGCTCCCATGGGAAACAAGTGCAAAAAAGTCCGGAAATACAAACTACATCACTTGTCCCCGAGAAGCTTGTGAAACGAAAACAGCGAGAAACTATATCCTTTTTATTTTATGATCAACGAGAAAAAAAGTACAGCCGGGAACAGTGTCTGAGAGAAAGGGAGCTGACCATTTTGTTCCCCCTTCCTTTCCCAATTGATGAATCACCTTCTGATCCTTTTCCGCTCCCTGGATTCGCCAATACCAGCAGGGAGGCCATTCAGTTGTTTTCCAGCGTGAAGAAAGGCCAGTGCTGTACTGGCAAAAAAGTTCAGTACAGTGGAGTCCTGTAGCTCAGTGGTTAGAGCACTCGCTTTGCAAGCGAGAGACCTGAGTTCAATTCCAGGCAGAGGGCGAAACCTTGGGCAAGTTTCCTTACTCCACACAGCCTAATAATAATCCCTCCCAAAACCAAAAACAATATTAAATTGGTCATTTTCAATCTACAACTGTTCGTGGGACATTGCTGTGCGCAATTGGCTGCCGCGTTCGCCCACAAATACAGTCAATTCACTTTACAGTGTGTTCTGTGAAGCGCTTTGGGATGTCCTCCTGACATGAAAAGCGCTATATCAAATGCAAGGATTATTATTATAAAAAACATTCAGTTACAGATACAAACAGTTTGCAAGTGCAGTCACTTCACATATAGCTGGGATATGTAAATGCTGATATTGGGACCTCTATTACAATGCTCCAGCGCTGCTTGTGCTATTGATACAGGAACATTGGTGCACAGATGTGCATAGCTGCCGTAGTCCCACACGAATCACTGGGAAGGTTTTGATATTTCCAGTTGTACAATATCCAACTGATCTCAAGTTTGAAACCTTCCAGGATTACAGTCTTCCCTTGTGCCTTCTCAAAAGTTAACATTCAGCATGTCTGATCCATTCATTCAGGGATACAGTCTGCCAGCCAGGGAAAGCTAGTCCCATTCACTCCAAAGTGACAAAAACTCCCACGGAAACAGCTTCCACAGTCCAAGCGGATCGAAAGGTCACAGCACAAGATTCAATAGGTGGAAGGAAGAAAACTCTCCTGCAGTTTTCGACGAAAATTTGCATACTTATTTTGCTGGTCACCGTTGACAAAACTAGGTTAATGCCTTTATACCAGGTTACTCTGAGTAGGAAGGCAGATTCTCTCCAATAGGTCTGACACCAAACTTCAGCGTTCTGAGAAAGGCGCTACAGAAATGCAAGTTCTTGTGGAAATATGCATCACAGCTGGGTTTTTGTTTCAGATTTTCACCTTAGATCTAATCCTAAATCACCAACGCAGGCAGGTTGGTAGTCTGCAACTAGGCTAACCAATTTACTATTGCAACCTGGCTTTTATAACCTTCGAAGCCCGAACTCTGCAAAGTGCTTTCCAAGCAGTTTAGTACTAACACACCAAGGCGGTACAGTACCAACTAACCGAGCAGGCTGAAATATGTTGGGAGTTCCATATAAAAACATGATTGCATCAACTCTAGAAGCTTTGAAGGCCATTTGGTCATGGAGACGCCTCTTTGGTTAAGCTCCACGGAGCAATTTACTGGCTGTGGAATGGAATGGAATGGAATGGAATGGCAGCCCAAACAGAAGCAATTGTACAGCCCAGAGTGAGAGACCAATGGCACCGTTAGGCAAAAGAGGTTCTGGTTGGCGATTGCGGCGCGTTTCCAGAGGACAGCGTGGTGTTGAGAGCTTCGTGCCTGTGGGAAGATCTGTCAAGCTGACTGCTGCACTCGGACATCAGCACCCCGAAGCACTGGGTCTTCTCCCCTTCCTTGGCCAGACACAGGAGCCGCACAATTGTCCGGCGCATGTCCTTGTTGGTCCACGTGTAAATGATGGGGTTCAAGGCTGAGTTCAGTATGGCCAGGAACAGGAAGTAATCGGACTTGTAAAGGATCCAACTCCAGCCAACGCGGCCGAAAAAATCCAAGAGCAGGAGGATGAACAGAGGCAGCCAACACAGGATGAAAGTGCTCACCACGATGGTGAGAGTTTTCAGGAGGGCCATGTACTTGTGTGACTTCTTGGCGCCGCCGCCCCTCAGGCTGCTCATGTGGGGGCTGCTGCCCTTCACCAGGAGGTAAATGCGCACGTACAGCACCACGATCGCCAGCAGGATGGCGATGAAGACCGCGATGCAACACAGCACGTAGTACCTGGAATAGAGCGGCAGCACCGTGGAGCAGTCGACCAGCTTCCCGATGCAGTTCCACCCCAGGATCGGGAGGATGCCCAGCAACCCCGCGACGGCCCAGCACCCGGCGACGGACGCGAGCATCCGGTACCGTTTATCCTCGTGGTACAGTTTCATCCTCTCCATGGTGATGTGCCGCTCCACCGCGATGGCCAGGAGGCTGAAGACAGAAGCCGCCAAGGTGATGAACACGCCGCCCTCCCTCAGGAACCACAGCAGCGGCGTCAGTCTCAGGGTGTTGGCACCCGAGAGTAGGATGTTAACCATGTAGCTGACGCCGGCCAGTAGGTCAGACACCGTCAAGTTGGCGAGGAGGTAATACATCGGGAGGTGGAACTTCTTATTCCTCCATATGGCTATCAGCACCAACAGGTTCTCCAGCACTATAAACACACACATTATCAGAGACAGTATAGCCTCGATCTTCATCCCCGTCTTGTACCGCCCCGGTGTACCGAGCTTCCCGGTATGATTATAATGTATGAAGATCGTATCGTTGTCGTAGTATTGCCTGAAGACTCTGCTGATGGAGCCTGTGTCCAGGAGACCCATTGCTTTTTCTGGTCCCGTGAGAGCCTGTAAAAACCGTCTCTGCTTCCAATCTTCTCGAAGCCTCGGGCTGATTCCGGTGGCTTCTGATCTCTGCACCGCGCAAAGTTGTTCTGGCGATGCTGAGGAGGTCAGGTTTCAGTTGGTGGCAATGGTTAGTCGAGATATAGCGATCTGTGAGCCTATGTCCCAGCGCAATAAACGCATGGGCTCAGTTGGGCTGACTGTTTGGATTCAAGGCAAAGGTAGATTTCCAGATGATACGTCCACAAGTCCACCCACAGCTGAGCGCAGTAACGGTGACAGTTTGAAGGACGATGGGTGCACCGGCAATCACCCCACGTCCTGTCCACCCGAAGATTCAACACTTGGCGTGTGACAGTGACGGGAATACCTGTTTAGCCGCCAGGTACACAGGGGGTCAGGTCAAGCCAGCCAAGCTCTGTCCAGCCGGGGCTGTAGATGATCTCCCAGGGATGCTGTCAGCCTCTGCAATCACAAGCGAAGCGGTTATTGTAAAAGTAATTGTCCCTTAAAGCGAGGAAATACCCGTGTGTTTTCTTTAAAGAATGACATACATATCGATTGGTCTAAAATGTTCCATACGATACTGTACTGTAAGTAGCAAAGCGCAGCCGCAGCCGATCGTGGAGCAATAGGAAGAGGTAGTGCACACGACATGAAATAGTGTGTAACTCGGAAAGGACACAATTAGTCTAACAATTGTCTAACTAATTTAACTGACTGACTGACTGACTCTAACGGGTACGAAGCTTCAACCAGCACAACGTGAAACTAACTCGCTGTGAGTCTCAATCACCGTCTTGCTCTCAGCTTACTATCCGTTTGCAATTGTAACGCATAATTATCCGGTTTCTTGCAAAACAACACACCACAGGGAAGGTGGATCCTCAGTGTAACAAGGATAACATGTAAGGCAGACACTTACTGTGGTGGGTACAGTGTGATCAACTGTCCCTGCAGTTACCGGGCTGTGTGTCAGGCTCTGTGTGTGGGTGTGGGATGCTAAAAGGCTTGAGGGCGGGCAGTCTGGCAGCGATGGGAGGGACGAGGACAGAGACCCGGTAAGCTACAGCCTGTCATTGGTACATCGACGTGGCAGCCACTCGCTTCTGTCCTTTCACAGTGTGATACACACCACCACCAACAATAATTTGCATTTATATAGCACCCTTCACGCAGGGTAGCATCCTGGAGCTCCTTGATAGTGGCGGAGTCAGGAATGGGGGGGAGGTGACCATTCACCTCATTGCAACACCCCCTATTTTAGACACGATCAAAAAGAAAGGTCTTTAGGTGGTTTAAACCTATTTTTACAACAAGTTGAATTTATATAGGGTCCCTTCATGCCGGACAGCGTCACGGAACGCTTTAAATGCAGGACAAATAGATAAAGCTGTTAAGAAAAGCTTTATAAATAGAGGCATAGAGTATTACCTCCAAATACTGAACAGGACTACTGCACTGTGCTATATATATGACTCCATTGCATTCTGTTGCCTGCTCCCTTGTATAGTAGAGATAATTTATTTGCAACACCCCCTATTTTAGACAAGCAATCCTTATGTTTGATTAACGCACTGGTACGGCAAGTGTGTGCCTCCATAGTGTAACTGTGAATTTATGTGTAGCAGTAGGCTGAGAAAGGAGGGGAGAATTTGCAAGAGTCTCATTAACTGCACAGGATCAGTGACCGCAGTGATTGCGCCATAAATCAGCCAGAGGAGTGACGTCAATGAAGTTTGTGCTGCAGGAATGTGGCTCAACAGATAGCAGCAAGGAAGTCATTTTCAATAGCATTTCTTCATCTTCGTTTCCCTTAATACGCTACCTTCCAAAGTTCCGGCTGTGTCCCTTTAAATACCTCAACTAATTCTGTACCTTTCGCCATCAAAATATACATTCACTTTACAGAATAGCCTGTGAAGCTCTTTGAGATGTCTCGAAGAAGTGATATCAAATAAAAAATAAGAATAATCCTTGCATTTGATATAGCACCTTATCTTCCAGATATCTCAAAGCGCTTCACAGAATATTCTGTAAAGTGAAGTGATTGTATATTCTGTGGGCGAAACGCGACAGTCAATTGTGCACAGAGTGACCAAATTATATATATTTTTTAAATTATGCAATTGCATGGATTATTATTATAACCTGTGGCTAATTATATCATTGCTTTCCACATTTTGAGTGCGTAAAAGCAGAGCCCTCTAAACACTTCTGTCGACCATTGCCTTGCATCATCCAGCCAAATAGGGCAGCATAAAGATGAAAGGGTGGGAGAGGACTGTGAAATTGTGGGGAAAGGAGAAATGAATTCAAATAACTACTTGCACGTAACAAATTATGTGCTGAAGCAATGTTTGATTTACAGAGAAGAATGTTTGCCCAGTCTCCAAAATAAGCAAAGATAGAATCGCAAAACTCTTATCAAAGTATCTAAAAATCCTGTGTCATTTTCATAACTGTAAAATTACTGAACTAAAATATTTCTGTGAGGTCAGAACAAAGAAACTGCCTTGTATCCCAAAATGTTCCGCATTTAACCATTCCACAACCTTCTCAGTGATCTTTCTCAAAACAAATATATCGAGAATGCAGCAAAGCTCTGCTCATAGTGAAACCCAGTGAGTTGTGGAATGCACCTCACTGTTCCAGTCGCTCAAATCCCAAGTACTTCACCCCTGTCTGTTACCTGACCCAGTCTCTGAATCAAGTTACAACTTGCTGCAGAGTGGCATGCAGACAAGAAAGTTGCTGTTTATCCTGTGATACCTCTGAACACGTTAAAAAGAACACCCCAAAACATGTAATTTTACCCAACCAAGACCCCCTGAAGCAGTTCTGAACAACAACTTGCATTTTGTTAATGCCCTTCATCCCAGGCAGAGCCTCGGAGCGCTCAACAGTGGCGGAGCCTGACGCCAAGCTTGGGGGAGGTGACCCTAAGCACAATTGAAGAGGAAGGTCTTCAGGCATGATCTGAAAAAGTGGAAGGAGGGGGCAAGGCGTAGGAATTGAGGGAGTGCTCGCCAAAGTTTTGGGGCACAATGGCTGAAAAACTAGCAATGGTGGAGTGGAGGGGATGAGGCACAAGCAGGAGTGGGGAGTAACCAAGTCAGAGACATGGCAGGGCGTAAAGGGATTTATAGATGACTATGGGGATCTTGAAGACGATCAGTTCTGCGATAGGGAGCCAGTGGAGCCTGGCAAGGAGTAGTGTACGACGGAGGTTAGAGTAGGTGAGAATACAGGTGACAGAGTTCTGGCATTGGTGGGCATTAGAATACAACAACAAGATTCCATTTATAGAGCGCCTTTCACGTCGGGAGGACGAATAATCGAGGTGGGAGGTGATGAAAGCGTGGACCAGGGTCTCTCTTAGCTGAACTGCTGAAACCTGTTACCCTCTGCCTCGGACCACATTATTTCTAACCTGAACGAGTTGCTTAATTTAATCACTGTAGCTAACTTCCATTTGAATATTTTTACGAAAACATAATTGGAATAATGAACTGTGAGATCATAAACAAATTGCAACTGAAACGATGGCTTCAAGCAATTTGCTTCTGTCCTGTCCTATATTAGGAGATTCAGATTATTAGTCTTCACATTTACATCATAATGTCATTCATTTTCCTGCTAAACTATTGTCTTTCTTTTTTTATTGCCCTTCTGACAGATCTTAATAATAAGAAGAAATTGCCTCCAGTAAATAGGTGTTCAGGTGGAGTAACAGAGAACCATAAAGAAATAATAAATAATAATCCTTGCATTTGATATAGCGCCTTAACAGGTCTTTGAGATGTCTCAAAGTGCTTCACAGAATATACTGTAAAATTAATTGACTGTATATTTTATGGGCGAAACACAGCAGCCAATTGTGCACAGTAGCGTCCCAAAAGCAGTCGTGGATTGAGTGAAATTACCCCCGGAAAAGCGATTTGCCAATCGACTAACAACCAGGTTCCTACAAACTGCTAGGTAAACAGAGCAGAGGCGTTTGGAATAAGGAAACTTACCCAATGTTTCGCCCTGCCCAGGAATTAAACCCAGGTCCACTAGCTTGCGAGGCGAGTGCTCTAACCACTGAGCCACAAGACTTCTTGCTGTATTGGATTGAAAGCAGAGCTTTACTGCATACACTGAAGTATGCTTGAACTCTCCACAGTACAAAGCCCAAGAGCGGTTTTGTGCAATTTTCTTACTGTTTCAATGTGTCATCTTAAAAGAGCACAAATCAATTTAATTAGTGCGAAATGCGGTGTTCTCTAACAGAGATATCAGTGTGACACACCCTTCTTAAATAGAAAAATGTGGAAAATGAGTTGACATCGACTATATATATATATATATATAATCTACATCATATCACCAAAGGATATACTTTTAGTTAAACAAGGTAGCAGAGAAGAACAAGAGATTGATCCCAGAGGTATAGGGCAACTACTGAAAACATCACTGAGAAGTGAAATGTGGGATCTCGTGACTCTAGTCTCTGGGGTTCAGCTAGTTCCAGGGTGACACGCGTGGCAATGCAATATCAGAATTAAGTTGACCTTCTGTGGTGGTCTCAGAACCATTCCTAAACCAGATTGGTATGCAATCGAGGGGCAGGCTCGAGGGGCCAAATGGCCTACTCCTGCTTCTATTTCTTGTGTTCTTAAGAAGGGTGCATCACTCCAGTGAGAGTGTGCACTCCATCCAGACACACAGGATTCCCCACGCAGATGTGGCATACACATCCGAGAACCCTGAGTCTGGTTATGATGCTTTTAAACATGGAGATAGATTTCCGCAAGCATCAAGAAACTAGTGGAAGAGGAGAAAATAAATAAAATATTAGGGGACTAAAGTAACTTGAAAATCAATTAAAACAATGAGTTATTGCTACAAAAGCTATGAAATGTCGCACCTGAAGACCTTCCTATTCGACTGTGCCTACGGTCATCTCCCACTCCATCCAGCTCTGCGTCACGCTCTGCTACTGTCAAGCGCTCTGGGATGCTACCCTGCGTGATGAGTGCTGTATAAATGCATGTTGTTGTTGAAGAGCACTTCAGCAAATATATGTATTAACTACTACTGTATCTAGCATATTATTGAACAAATTCATTAACATGTCAAGGTATGATTTACTAATGCATTAATGGATTAATATTTTTATGAATGTATCAATGCAAGGATTATTATTATTATTATTTTAGACAATAATCTGCGAATGAAATACTGAACTGTGCTGCACAGACTCCCGAGTGAGGTGTCCATGAGCTGACAGCCACAGTCTTTGTGCATGCGTTTTCTAATTTCTGAGAACAGTAGCCAGGTTCCACTCGTGTGTAGACCTGTCTGAGTTACACCTGGTTATCATTCCTGAGATAAGTGTTTAAGTTAGACTTCAATGAATGTCATTGTTGAAGGTAATAATAGCTTTATCTGCTGTCTGCCAGATCTACATGTCTCACTCAGCAGAACAAGTTAACCCTTTCACCTGTATCCGTTCACATGGTTTCATTTTCTATTAGGAACAGGGTCTGGTAGCTCAGTGTTTAGAGCGTTCACCTCACACACGAGAGAACTTGGGTTCGATTCCCGGGCAGGGCGAAGCATTGGGCAAGTTTCCTTACTCCACACTCCTCTGTTCATCTAGCATTAAGTAGGAACCTGTTTGTTACTCGTTTGATAGATCGTTTTTCCGGGGGTAATAAACCCCTCAAATTTATTTTTTAAAGGATTATTATGTTTAAGAAAGGCACAGAGAGCGTAACTCCTCTGCCTCCCCCTTCTGATTTTAAAATAGATATCAATCTTTTCGCTTACTGTTATGTTCTATGATAGTTAGTTACTTGGTCATTGAAGTTCTTTAAGGAAGAAATAAATAGAGGAATACATTTTGTTTTAAGTTATAAAAACACAGGCATTGTCAGATAACACGATCTCCCTGTGTTAGTCCAGTCATACGTTAAGGGAAGAGCTGGAGCATTGTGACCCTGA